TCGTCGTTATCGTTATCTATCTATCTATCTATCTATCTATCTATCTATCTATCTATCTATCTATCTATCTATCTATCTATCTATCTATCTATCTATCTATCTATCTATTTTATAGTCATAATAAACTGAAAGATTTACCAGAAGAGCTTATTCAGCTAAAGCACTTGAGAAGTCTCCTTTTGCAACACAATGAATTACGTCACTTGCCTCATGAATTTGGGGAACTGAACAGTTTGGAAGAACTCGTAAGTGAAAGGCTCTTACAATGATTTCCTCTTTGTGCCAGGGAACCCTCTGGAACACTGTAGCCTAAATCGTCTTTGAACTCCCAGTTAGAGTAGGCCCAATAAATCAATCCTTAACTGATGAGTGAATATGTATGTAAATCACATTGATTCCGTGGGCTCTAGTTGAAATTACCGGTAGAAACTTGGCTTCTGTGCTTCCATATGTTTAGTCTGAAGTAAGTTCTGTTGTTTTACATAGTGCTGTTCAAAGACATGTTTACATAACATAGTGGTTGTGACGACTGACAAGCCTCGCTGCCAGGTCGAAGAGTGGCTCGCAGAATGCGAGCTCCAGAGTGATAGGAAGGGAGTGTGGCGCCCGCGGCAACAGAGGAAGGTGAGTGGATGGTCTGGCCCCAGGGGGCTGTACCCTTGTTATGTCCACCCATGCAGGGGTAGTTGTCTATGAATACGCATACCGCCATCTCTAAAGTTAATGTATGCAGACATCTTCAACTACCAAAATAATCTTCTTCTTCTAAAATGACAATAATACTATGGAGCTAAAATGTTTGTGTATTTCTTTCCAGCTTGATCCTATTCCTGAAAAGGTATTACAGCAGAGACCAAACACCAATGCAGTTCATTCCATTGAAAAGGTCATTGAAATTCACAGTGAGTACCAAGGAGTAGTCATTCTTATTTTAGGTTGAGCTCCTATTCCAGTGGTTCCCAACCTTGGGTATATCCAGGTGTTCTTGGACTATAACTCCAAGAAACCTGGGCCAGCACAGTTAGTAGTGAATGCTTCTTGGGTAGCTGCAGGGTTACCCAGAGTTGGGGACCACTGTCCTATTTTACAGTAAGTTGAGTATAATTCATATTGAACCACCACACAGACTGCATGAGGATAGTGAGAGCTGTGCAGATGAAGTGAAAAATCAAAGCAAGAATTTCACATCTGATCTTGAAGTGGAGAAATTCCTGAAGCTTTGTATAACATTGTCTCATAAGGAAGACTTTTTTGGAAATGGGTTAACTGAGTGGCCAATCATTTTTCTTCACTTTGATTTTAGAACTTGTTGAGCACACTATCTGCAGTTTTTCATCAAACAAGTGAGAAAATGAGAAACAGCTGAGCAAGTTATAAATGGGAATAGAAGACGCTCTGATCTAGTAGAACTTTGAAGTTCTATGAAAGGTGCTGAAAGTCTCTCTTCCCCTGATTTGTTCTTTCTTTCTTGTCCTTCTCCCAGTCACGTAAGGAGTTTCACATCCTTTTACTCAAAATCCATCCCCCTGAAAGGCCCTGTTGGTAAAGTGTCTAAAATGTTCAAAGTTTAGAAGATGAAACAAGAGATTATAGATAAGAAAACAAGAAAAGAGATTATAGATAAGAAAACAAGAAAAAGGAAAGACAGAATTTTATTTTGTTTTGTCTTGTTTTATTTTTTCTTTTCTTTAGTCTCATTTGTACTACTGTAAGAAAGTTCGTCCTTTCCCTCAGGCAGCCCCTCCATTTCGGCGGGAAATAATACAGGTTGAGTCCGGATAACTTTAACAGAAGAACTTTTATTTTCCTCCACACCCTCCAGCACATCTTTGAACGGATTTAACGATTTCGAACTCGGCAACAGGCCATCATTAACAACTTCCAAACTTTGATTAAAGTCCCAGGGGGTTAAAGGCAGCACTCCCCATAAGGTTCCTTGAGCTCTGATTGAGGGGGTGGGAGACTCCTCATGGCACAAATTGTCCCACAACATTTGTGCCTAATCCACCCGCGCTCGTCTGGACCTTCGTCAAACTCTGCTGTCATCCACTCACGCTGTAATTCCACTTCTCTCGGCGCCACAATTACATTCCATTCCTTTACAGTTATACGTGGAGAAGCCCCTTTAAAACTTGGGGGATCGGGTAGAAGGCCGCCTATCTTTAGGTGGGGAAAATCTCTCATCAACCCCTGAGTACGGACCTTTTTGAAAGCTCTCCGTCTTTCTTCCCGCTTTCTCCTTTCGTACTCCTCCACCACCGTACTAAACCACACCACCCCTCCTTATCCTTATATCCCTCACTAACTGTCACTTCTGACTCCTCCCACTCCCCATCAGCCAAACATACTTCTATCTTCACCTCCCTCTCCTTCTCCATCACCGCCTTTCCCTTTTCTTCGTCACTTTCTCCACTAGCTCGTTGTTCCTTCTTTCCATCATCCTTTTCTACTTTCACTTCTGCGGACGGCACACTCTTATTCTCCACACTTTCACACGCCCCCCC